TTTGGGGCGCAGGAGGTATCTAGGACATCTTCAGGTGAGTAGTTATCGTTATAGAGGCCTTACAGAAGGTCTATATACCTTATAGAAGCCTTATAGAAGCCCTATATACCCTAAACTCCCCACCTGTAATTAGTTTCCTTTAAAGGTAGTGTTGACAAGGTCCTTCAGCCTCCAGCTTTTGCAAACTTCTACTCCCTGGCCCCCCCAAATCGTGAGTCGTAAGACTGTGAGCTCCTATACCCCCTAGACCCTAAACCCCTAAACCCCTAAACCCCCTAAACCCCTAAACCCCTGAGCTCTCATGAGCTCGAGATCGAAGCTCCAAGCTTCGAACCGCAAGTCAGCGCCAGAGGCCGGAACGAACGGCGAAGCCCCAAACCTCAGATCCCAATGGGGAGTTTGGGGTTTAGGGTTTAGGGTTTTAGGGGTTTAGGGTCTAGGGTTTGTTGGGGTTTTGGGCTTTAGGGTTTAGGGTTCATGAACTTTATTATTATTATTATTATTATTATAATTATTATTATAATAATAATTATTATAATGAAGGTGACCCAACCTAACAACGGGTTTAGGGTTCATGAACTTGAACCCTAAGCCATCAATCTGAGCCTCCCAGTCTTCGAGGCTTTGCGCTTGGTGTTCCAGGCTTTGGGAGCATCCTCATACGTGTTGTAGACTGTATACATATATATATATATACACACACACATCGAATAACATTTACATTACATGTAAACACAGACACACACACACACACATCTTATATATATATATATATGGACATAAATACGCACAGGAAGAAAACAAGAATGAATGTACATACATAGGTACATACATACACACGAGTATAGTATCTTTACGAGTTGGTTGCCGATCCTTCCTATTTGACAATGGTTTTCCTATTGTTAGACATTGGTCTTCCAATTAGATAGGATCTATCTCATAGAAAATCGTCTTACGATTAGCTAGGGTTTACCGCTTGGACTTCGGTTTTCGCTCTCGCTATCGCCGTCGCTCTCGCTCCCGCTCGCTCGCTCGCTCTCGCTCACTCTCTCTCTCTCTCTCGCGCTCTCTCCCTCTCTCTCTCTCTCTTTCACACACTGGGTTTATTTGCATGTAGAACTGTAGAATTTAATTACATAATTCCATGTCCATGAGTGGACGTGTCCATACTCGCCCAGAAGATTTCCTTTTCTTCATGGCTTTTCTTCTCCCGCTCAGGAAGAGTCCCGGGCTGCCCTCGGCGCCTCCGTCGCCCCAGCCGCCGGCGCTTTTGCCGCGGGGGGCCGCGTCGCGGCGAGGGGCGCCGTGGCCAGGTGGGGTTTCCGAGAGCCGAGGGTTTGAAAGAAGAGGTCTCAGGATTTTCGAGGTTCAGAAAACAGGTTTTAGTGGTTTGCGGGAACAGAGTTCACGAGTTTGGGTTCACGATCTTGGGTGCAGGTGTTTTCCCGCGCGGCCGGCGATGCTGTCGGAGCTGAAATCGATACTAAGAGAGGCTTATGGCGTGCATTCCGTCAACACCTAGAGCAAACGTTCGTATCATATCGAGATACCTTGTGCAAAAACTGCCGGAAACAAGCCATGAGAACTGAAGCTCCCACCTGCAACATGACAGTTAGTTTCGACGAGGTAAAACGCCTCTTGGGCCAAATCCCTTTGTCACCCTAAACCCTAAACCTTGAACCGACCAAATTTCGGAAGTTTCGGGTTGCTTTGCGAGGCAGGCTGGCTACAAGATGAGCGCTGCCGTGCCCAGCTTCAACCGGGGGCCCCCTTTTTTGGGGCCTGCGGGCTACATGGGCTTTTAGCGCCCGACGGTTTAGGGTTCAGTCTAGGATCATCTAGGATCCAAGGATGCAATGCTTCAGGGTTCAGGGCCAGCCCGTTCCCAATCCGGCGTGAGTGTATACAGGGGCCTTAATAATTATCTATACTATTTTGGGGGCTCCTTACCAAAATTATCGTACAACATACCCCAAAACCTTATTGAAATTACTTGAGGCCCTCTAGTATTCGGGATGCCACAGCCTCTCTTTGGAATCCTCGGCTTAATGCGGGTCGCATGCGCCTTCTCTGCCTGGGCAGTCGCACATGTTCGCTTGGTGATCTATCTCTACATATATACACATACTTGTGTATGTACATATATATATATATGTACTTATATGTACGTACATACATACATATATATATATATAACTGTATATACTTATATACACTTACTGATACTCATATATACCTATATTTACACAAAAAGTAATATTTACGTATATATGCTTATATATACTTATATATACTTATATATACTTATATATACTTATATCTACTTATATCTACTTATATCTATTCATATCACTTGTATATACTTATTTTTACTTACATATACTTATATATATATATATATATATAAATAAGTGTATATATATATATATATAAGTGTGTATATATATATATATAAGTGTGTGTATATATATATATTTATCAGCTCCAGCTATTGGCTCTCTTCGACGTGGCTCTTGAATTCGGTGCCAACGTGTGGGTTTGGATTCACAGTTTGGCGTTGCAAGTTGAGTTAAGGGTTTAAAGTTTAGGGGGGGGGCTTTGGGGGCGTCGATGAAGTGCCAGCAGGGGTCCTTGTTCGTGGATGAGATAGGAACTCTGGGGGTTCTGCACCCTAAACCCTAAACCGTTCTGCGGTGTATATCTCAGGTTCAGGGTTGAGGCACGACCCCGTCACGATCATTCCTGGCACTATCAGAATGCCCTAAACCCTAAGCCCTAAACCCTAAACCCTAAACCCAAAACCCTAAACCCTAAACCCTAAACCCAAAACCCTAAACCCTAAACCCTAAACCCAGGTTCCCTTCCTGCCCATGTCACCAGCGCTGGAGGGCATCCCAGGCAGGGGGCCGGGGGTAGGGACCGTCACAGGCTGCCAGACCTCGCTTTAAAGAGGCAAAATTTACCCTAAACCCTAAACCCTAAACCCTAAACCCTAAACCCTAAACCCTAAACCCTAAACCCTAAACCCTAAACCCTAAACCCTAAACCCTAGACTACTGTTTAGGGTTCCTGAGTAGTATAAGTATCACTTTAAAGAGGCAAAACTTACCTAGACTACTGTTTAGGGTTTAGGGTTTAGGGTTTAGGGTTCCTGAGTAGAGTAAGTATCATGTAATACTCCAGAACCTTGTTGGAGTTATTGAGGTCCCTTAAGGTACCATCTGGCCAGGCACTTCAGCCTAGGGCGCGAGTTGCTTGGGGCTTTTTGGGATGTCGGCCGCAGCTTGGCTGTGGCTTAAGTGGTTCAACTTCAGTGCCTGAGCCCTAAGCACCCTAAACCCCAAACCCTAAACCCTAAACCCCAAACCCTAAACCCTAAACCTTGCATTAACAAAAACCCTAAACCCTAAACCCCAAACCCAACTAACAACCAGATCCTTAACAGAACGTTCAATAATAAAGCCTGGAGGGTTTGGGCTGTGGCTTCGGAGCTCGCTCCCAAAAAAGCAAACAAAGGTCTGCAACTACCTTGAGCCAAACCCTCGCCCTGAAGAATTTTGAATTCCCCAAAGAAACACGGCGAGGACCCCGGACCAGACGCCCTGAGCTTTGAGAGAATGCCCCTGCCAGAGCCCCCAGAGCCAGGCGAGGAGGAGGGCTTCGACCCCATGGGCTTCTCCCTGGCCTTCGAGATCGGCTGGCTCCGTGAGGCGGGCGCCTGCTTCGAGGCTTTCATGATCAGATCTCGCATGGGTTTTAGGATTTAGGGTGTGGGGGTAAAGGCTAGACTAGAGGTTGGGGTTGGGTCTTGGGCTTTTGTGTCATTCATCCTTCCTTCGAACCAAACAACCCTCAACCTAAACCCTGAAAGCCAGTGCAGGCGGAGCTCAAGCACGGCAGAGTGGCGATGCTTGCAACTGTGGGGTGGATCACCACCGACATGGGTACTTTGGCACGGGGAGTTTATATGTAGTGACTTAACCAACAAGTTCCAAGTCTTAAGTAAACTCCTATGACCCAAGCCCTTAGCCCACGCTAGGCTTCTGCGATCTCCACCGCGTCAGCCCTTGGACACCGGTGCTTTTTTTTTTGATTTGCCGCAGAAGTGTCTACGCACCCCCCCGAGCCGAAAAAGAAAGTGAAAACCCCGAAGCTGCGGACTTCTCTCATCCGTAGAGGTCATACCCTAAACCCTAAACCCCTAAACCCCTAAACAGAGGGGCTGAAGAGGGGAATCGTCACCAGGGATGTCAGGGCCATGGTTCTTCAACAGCTGAGACACTTCGCGGATCCGTCGCCGAACCACGCGCTCCCGAAAGTCCTAACCCCTGAACCCTGAACCCTAAACCCTAAACCCAAACCCTAAACCCTAAACCCTAAACCCCGAGCCCTAAACCCTATCCCGGAACCCTAAACCCTAAACCCTAAACCCTGAACCCTAAACCCTCAGCTCTCAAGGACCTTAGACACCTCGGCCGCCTCCTAGTCCCTGAATCCTGCACCGTAGGACGATGCTTCTTCAAGAGTTGATCTAAAGAAGGTCTGTTTTTGTGGCTTTTATGACCTCGAAACCTCTTTGCACCTGCAAAGCCCAAGGAGATTCCAAATTCTATAGGAGTGCATGGGCCCTAAACCTCGGCCCGTTTCTACCGGGGTCAGTGCCACCGAAATCCGGCACCTCGAGAACTCAGGCCTGCGCGTCCCGGGTGATGCCTTCCAGGTCTCTACCATCGAGGTCCCGTCTTGGATGTATCATTCAGGGAGAGAAAAGAGGTCTGTTTTTTTTACGCATGGTTTCCACTGTATAGTACACCCTAAAACCCCAACCCTAAACCCTAAGCCCCTCAAGCCCTCAAACCCTAACCCCTAACCCCTGAAACCCTCTTCTGATCATGGGGGCCCCTGCATGCATTTGGGCTGAGGTCTGGAGTTCGGATCGTTTCGCTGTCGGGTGGTGAAGCCCACCAGTCACTAAACCCCAGCTTGGAACGTGAAAGTCTGGAAACCCCGAAACCCCCAAAACCCTGAGCCCTAAATAGGGTTTTGGGTTTAGAGTTTTTTAGTTTAGGGTTTAGGGTTTAGGGTGTAGGGTGTAGGGTTTGAAGTCCTAACCCCCCAAACCCCCAAATCCTCCGGAAACTCCTAGAGTCCATTGCCTTGAACCCTGAAAACCCCCATTCTAACTCCCCGAATCCTAAGCTGCAAGCCCGAAAGCCCGCAGGACCAAACGCGAGGCCCCATTCCTAGCATCCAAAACGTCAAGCCCCAAAATCTTAAGCCCGAAAAACCCTCAAACCTTCAGCTTTCTAGGAAGCCCAGCTACGAGTTCCTTAACGAGTTCCGCTATTCCGTTAAGGGATCCACCCTAAACCCTAAACCCCTAAACCCTAAACCCTAAACCCTAAACGTGAGAGTCACCTTAAAGGCGCACGACGCCATGGTCAAGTTCGGAGGAATGCCGCAGAGACCCGGCCGATCCTGCCTTTTTTTCTTAGCGTTTTAGGGTTTAGGTTGGTTTAGGGTTATAAGGGGGGGTTTCATGGTTTAGGTTTGGGGGTTTCAGGGTTTTGGGTTTCGGGGTTTCCGGATAGTTTAGGGGTTTCAGGGTTTAGGTTCAGGGGTTCCCCTTCTGTTTGGACCTTCATGGGGTGCTCAGGTAGTAACCAAGGGAGGTGGGATTGCCGGAGAGGCTTTGCTGGGTTGTACAGCAGATCTGATTCTGTCGAAGAGGTTAGGGCGTAGGCTTGGAACCCCTAAGGACCAAAGCACAAAGAGTCCTAAAACGCAGAAATCCTCAAGACTCTAAATCGCGAATTTCCCAAACTCCAAACCCTGAAATCCTACAACCCTCCTTCTCAAACCCTAAACCCTAAACCCCCCGTTCTAAAACAAGCAATGGAGCAACGCAAAGCCACCGAAGCGCACTTCCAAGGATCCTCATCTGGTGCGGCCTCCTGGAGGCCGAAGGGTGCAGCCGTAGGCAGGTTGAGGTTCTCGAGCTGTTTGGGGGTTGGGGGTTTTAGGGTCTAGAGTCCTTTGAAGCCCTTTGGGGTTGAGGGTTTTAGGGTGCCCTTTAGGGGTTGGGGGTTTAAGGTTTAAGGTTTAGGGTTTAGCGTTTTAGGGTTTTAGGGTTTTAGGGTTTAGGGTTTTTAGGTTTTAGGGTCTAGGGTCTAGGGTTTAGGGTTTAGGGTTTCAGGGTTCTGCATGCAGGGGTATAGTCCTTATTTTGAAGTTTCAAGCAGCCGGGGCATCGTCAGACGGCGTAAGGGTATGGCCCCTACAGAAACCATTGTAGTACCCTGATAGTCGTGGCACCTAAAGAGGAGCCCTAAATCCTAAACCCTGGACCCCCCTGAATCCCACAGAAGTAGCAGGAGCAAGCTTAATATAGGGGCCTACATACTTACCTACACTATTTTCCGGGTTCCTTATTATGATTATAGTATAACGTACCCCAAAACCCTGTTCTACTGATTAAGGCCCTTATATTACACGTACCGGCCCTGGGCCCTAAATCTTTGTTTTCCTGCAGCCCTGAACCCCGACATACAGCGAAAAACAAACAAGAGGAAGCCCCGAGACCTGATTCCATAAACCCTCGGCCCTAAAACTCCAAAACCCTAAAGCCCCAAGACCCTAAAACCCCTAAAGCTCTTAAGCCCTAAAGCCCTAAAAAGCCAAAAGCCCTCAAGCCCTAAAGCCCAAACCCTAAAGCCCTAAAGCCCCAAAACCCCAAAACCCTCAAGCCCGAAAGCCCTAAAAGCCCTAGAAAGCCCTAAAGCCCCAACGCCCTAAACCCAAAACCCTAAACCCTAAAGCCCAAAGCCCTGAAGCGAGGTTCTGGGCCTCTTCGCGTACGTGAACATGCGGGAGGGCAAGACGGCTCCTTGCCAGTTCGACGATGGGGGTTTAGGGTTTTGGGGTTTAGGGTTGAGGGGTTTAGGGTTCAATTCAGGGGTTTCGGGGTTTAGGGTCTTGGGGGTTTAGGGTCTAGGAGTCTGGGGTTTTGGGGTTTAGGGCTTAGGGGTTTTATCTGAAGTCAGTTGTACAGTGTTGCAACAGACCATTATTGCCCAAAGTTGGTTTCGAGATTCACATGTCTGGTTTGGGTGTTTCTACAACTCTGGGTATCTTCGAAAGATGATTTCATCAGGACTTCAGATGTTCGCCAGGGATGCGTTCAAGGTGTGGGGTTCAAGGTCTGCCACCGTGTTCTCCAGAACTGAACACATGGGCACCGGTCAAACTAAGGCTTCGTTGAAACCGACGAATCCTTCGCAGCGCGAAGCCCACGAGACAAGCACTGACACCCGTATAGAACCCCTAAACCCTAAACCCTAAACCGTATAGAACCCCTAAATCCTGAGGCCCAAGACTTCCCCGACGCCCAGGACCGCAAGCCCGGGGACTTCGGCCTCCGCGGCTTCTACCCCAGCGACCCCAAGGGCCAGTACGAGATGCAGGCGGAGATTCCTTTGGGGGTTTAGGGCTCTTTTGGGCTTTAGGGCCTTCATAAGGGGTTTGGGGTTTACAAGCCCAAAAAGGGCTCTATGAGATGCAGGTAGGTTTTGGTAGGGTTCTGAAAACAGGGCAAAGGCCCTACAGGGCTCCATAAGAGTTCCCATGACGGTTCTATGAGGGGGAGGCTTGGGCATGCCTTCCTGTTATCTCAATGCTGTGGTTTTCAACGGCGGGCTTTTGAGCATGGGGCCAAGGGTTTCTGGTGTACAGGGTTCTCCGTTTTTGAGACACCCGACCGCAATGGCACGGGTTTGCTTAAACCCTGGCCCTAAACCCTAATCTCCCCGGACACCTTAAAGCCCCATGAAGCTCCGCAAGCATAAAGCCGTAAACCCTAAACCCAAAACTCACTACAGCCCCTAAACCCTATCTCCTGGGAAGGCGGGCTGCAGGCTCCAAGACCTTAAGCCCCTAAGCCCCAAAAATCTCTCAAGCCCTGAAGCTTAGCTTTGATCTTGAGCACAAGGCTCATAAAACTGGAGGGTTTAAGTACCCTAAACCCTAAACCCTAAACCCTAAACCCTAGACCCTAAGCCTCCACCTCAAAGCCTGCACCCCGAGCTCCTCCCGGCGCGAGTCTCTGGACCAGGTCAAGGAGCTGCGCAACGGCCGCCTGGCCATGCTCGCCTACTCAGGCAACGGTTGAGTTTAGGGGTTTAGGGTTTTAGGGGTTTTAGGGGTTTTAGGGGTTTTAGGGGTTTTAGGGGTTTTAGGGGTTTAGGGTTTTGGGTTTGGGGTATTAGGGGGCTTTAGGGCTCTGGTGCTTTAGGGCTTTAGGGCTTTTTAATCAGGGCTTTGTGGAGAGGTGGCCACATCCTGTGCACCGAAGTAAAGCGGCAGTGTAAAGAGGATCCTACAGCGGGACACGGAAACGCTAACCTATAAACACTCAGCGGGACCAGAAGCCAACAGATGCCACGTCGTTTGGTTCGGAAGTCCCCAAGAGGTTCTATCCTAAACCCCTAAACTACCCTAAGACCCTGAACCCCCCAAAGCCCTAAACGCTAGACCCCTAAACCCCAAACCCCAAACCCTTAGCCCCCCAACACTGATCCATCAAAAAGCTGGCTTTGCTGGCATTTCTTGGGCCGCTCCCATGGAGCGCCCTTGCCCCCCAAAGCCCACCGCGGAGATCTAGCCAGAAGCTCCAGAATCCCCTACTGTACTTGAGGAAGACCCTGCAGAGACGGATCCTCAAGAAGGATTGGATTTAAGATAGACGTTCGCTCTGGGTGCATCTCGAACACATAAAGCTTAAACCGCACATTGCCCCCGAGACCTCCAGCTCCGAGACGCTTTAAGAGCCCCCAACCCAAAAGCTACCGAAACTAACCCTGAGCCGCGTGCCAAATCTCAAAAAAAAGAGCTTGATGAAATCCTTAGCAAGCTATCATGAAGTCCTTCGTCTTTCCGCTTTCGGAACTCGCCCTGCAGGCATCGTGACCGCCGCTGTCCTCACGCAGGCGCGCTTGTCGAACCTTGGGGCTTTGGGTTTAGGTTCAAGGGCTTAAGGTTTGGTGTTTGGGGTTGGTGGCTTACGCTTTGGGGTGGAGGGCGTAGCGTGAGGGCTGTTGGATTTGGGGAAAAGGCTTCAAGATTCCGTTTCGTTGGCCCCTGTCCCTGTGGTCCACGCACGCAGGAGAAGTGGCCTTTCTTCGATGTCGTCCTGAACGCTGTGGCCAAGGACTCCCAGGTGCGGCAAGACCGGAGGTAAACCTTAAACCCCAGACCCTAAACCTTAAACCGCACACCCCCAAACCTAAACCTTAAACCTTTATAATCCTAGACCCTTAACCTTACGCCCTAAACCCTAAACCCTAAAGCCCTAAACCTTAAACCCTAAAGCCCTAAACCTTAAGCCCTCAACCCCAAACCATGCAAAGCAGGTCTCCCAGGGCGGCGCTTTCTGTGGGGCCGCGGCCCCCAGCCGTGCCGGCGCGCGCACGGCCCGGAGCCCAGAGACGCAGCCATGGTGAGTTTAGGGTTTGGGGTTTCGGGTTTAGGGTTCGGGGTTTAGGATTTAGGGTTTGGAGTCTCGGGTTTAGGGTTTAGGGTTCTGACAATGTCTTGATCGGGCTACAAGTTTTTGAAACAGAGTTGCTTGAAATGAAGGATAGCCCGCAGGACACGTATTGGGGTTCCTGGCTTGAATGTCAGAGGCCCTGTAGCGTTGCTCGCTGTTTACTAAGAATCCCTGTGTGAGAATCCTTTATTTAAGGTTCCGTCTATTCTCTGAAACTCCGAAATGGCATCGGCCGTTTCGGGGTTAGGGCTTTCTAGGGCTTGTTTTTTCTGGGTTAGGTTGGGGTGTAGGGCTTCAGGCAGAGCAGATAGGTGGGCTTGAGGTTCACGGGTTGGGGTCTAGTCATCGACATGCAATATACATGGTTTTCTGGGGTTTTCTTACGGGCGATCTCAGAAATTGTGGGGTACCTTATGTAGGGTCCCCTTGAAGAGGTGAAATTCTTTTGGAAGGTGTTGAGGGGGTCTTGAAGAAGTATGATTTTGTTGACAGGATTGAAGATTTGATGGAATCAGTGTTTGAGTTGTAAAGCTTTAAAGATCAGCTTCGGATGCAAGTTGATGCCGGGGATGAAGTTTGTACCATCGCGCTTGTTTAAGAACGCAGCGGTCAGTTTCATGTGGCTTTCCGTCATCGTTTAATTCTGTCACACCCATCCGCTGCGGTTATCTACTGCACATGACCGCTTGTTGCAACGATGTTCAGACGAAGTTACAAGAACCCTGGGGCGTGGAGCACGCTTTCACGGCCTCCAGCCTTGAACCCTAAACCCTGAAAGGCCTGAGCTCTACCCTAAACCCCAAAGCCCTAAACCCTGAAAGCCCTAAACCCTGAAAGCCTCAAGGATTAGCCTAAACCCAAACCCTCAAACCCAAAACCCAAAACCCTGAAAGCCCTAAGCTTTACCCTAAACCCATAGCCCAAAACCCTGAAAGCCCTGAAAGCCCCAAGCTCTACCCTAAACCCCAAACCCTAAACCCTAAATCCAAAACCCTGAAAGCCCCAAGGATTAGCCTAAACCAACCCTCAAACCCTAAACCCTAAACCTAAAACCCTGAAAGCCCTGAGCTCTACTAAACCCAAACCCTCAAATCCTAAACGCTAAACCCAACACCCTGAAAGCCCTGAGCTCTACCCTGAGATTTTAAGCCCAAGACCCTGAAAACCCTGAACCCTGCAGGCCCCAAGTCATAGAGGCCCTACACCCCAAACCCAAAACCCTGAAAACCCAAAACCCTGAAAACCCTAAACCCAAAACCCTGACAGCTTTAAGTCCTAGAGGCCCGACGCCCCAACCCCTAAACTACCCTAAACCCTAGAGCCCTAAGCCCTAAGCTACTTACTAAACCCTAAAGCCATAAGCCCCAAGCTACCCTAAACCCTAAACCCTAAACCCCAAACCCCAAACTACCCTAAACCCTAAAGCCCCAAACCAAAGCCCTGGTTGTCCCGAGGCGTGCCGGGCCTCCTCTAGCAAGAGCCTGCCCTTCCTGCCGCGCACTCGGACCCGGCTTTGGGGGGTTTAGGGTTTGGGGTTTAGGGTGTAGGGTTTAGGGTTTAGGGTTTAGGGTTTAGGGTTTGGGGTTTAGGGTTTAGGGTTTAGGGTTTGGGGTTTGGGGTTTAGGGTCTTCGGGTTATGGGGATTTACTTTACAGGCTATTTTTGTAAAGTCTACGACCAGCTTCGAACCAGCCTTTGCCACCTGAGAGCCTCAAAGCGCCAAGGAGGAACGCTGACCCTTTGAATAAAGAGGCGGGTTTGGGGTTAGGGGTTTAGGGTTTAGGGGTTTAGGGGTTTGGGGTTCAGGGGCTTAGGGGTTTATGGTTTATGGGTTAGGGGTTTAGGGGTTTAGGGGTTTGGGGTTTAGGGTTTAGGGTTCCCCATCAAAGCGAAGCCAGTGGAAGCTGTCAAGCCTGCAGCGCGTTGCAGCATACTGGGGGCGTAGGTATATAGTCCATCCTGAGCCATACCGGCACCACACAGTCCGCAACCCCAACCTTTCAGCCCTGCCAGATCAGACTTGACTACTTGAGACTTGATAATTCGGAGAGCAAGTTCTCCAACCCCTACCCCTGCAGAAGGCTCGTGTGCAGCCCGAAAAGCTCTGAACTGCAATCCTACGGGTCTGCAATAGATGTGTTAAAAAACTAAACTCAAACCCTGCAACCCCCAAACCACAGATCCTGGGTTTGAAAGATGTAAACACTGGCATTGGCGAAAACGCAAGGATAAACCCCCTAAGTCCTACACGCTACTACTAGTCGCTCTAGCAGCATCCTTGCTACCCTCTAACCTTAAACCCGAAACCCAAAACTTCCTAAACCCTAAACCCTAACATCCAGACATGAGTAGAGTGTACCGGTAGCCTGCCCAATATGGGCTTTGGAGCGCATGCAACAGAACAGGCCTTTCAACAAACCCTACCATCCAAATTTCCAAAGGCCGAAGCCCGCGAACCTGGGAGGTCTCATTGGCGGTGAGGTGCCCTCGGATTTGGGGGATTAGGGTTCCAGGGTTGAGGGTTTTAGGGTTTAGGGTTTAGAGATCATGCGGCGTTTAGAGGAGTTTCCGCGGGGGGCTACGAGGATTTCTTCAGGGTTCCGTACGGGTTTCGGGACTTTAGGCAGTGTGAAGGGATTTGGAACGATGATGTGAGGACGATGTCATGAGCATTCTGGTTCGTTCGTGTTAGAACCATAGTTTGCATGTTTACTATAAACCCTAAACCCTAAACCCTAAACCCTAAACTATCATACCGAATACCACTAGAAGAAAGGACCGAGTCTGCCAGACCCGGGCTCGAGGACCTAGGAATGCCACGGAATTTATTCCTGCAGTAAGCTCCTGGTCCTAGCTTCCTTCGAGCGCAAGCGAATCTTTAGGGTTTAGGGTTTAGGGTTTAGGGTTGAGGGTTTAGGGTTTAGGGTTTAGGGTTTTAGGGTTTTAGGGTTTTAGGCGCAAATTCAGAAACCCCTGGTCTTACCTTCTGTGGAGTGCAAGTGAATGAAGCCCTACATAAATTCCGATCACCCTTCGGCCTTCGTTTGGATTGACAAGCCGCAACCCCTGTGCCCCAAGCCCTGAAACCCCAAACCCGAAATCTCATTTCAAGTCCTGGAAAGACCTTGTCTCAGACCTTTTGAGCGCTCGAGACCTGCCCAAGCCCTCCAAAGCGCAGGCCGAGTTTGACCCAGTTGGCTTCTCGGACATCATCGACGCACCTTGGTGGTGAGACTCGCGATGCTTTTTTTTTGAGGCTTGGGGTACCCTTTGGATCCTAAATCGTGGTGATACTGTTCTATCAGTCTTCTATTAGCCAACCGAAGACTTGTTGAACGTGATCCCGAAACTGGAAACCCTCAACGCCAACCCCCAAATTCCTAAACCCTAAACTTGAATCCCCAAACCCTGGAGCTCAATCAAACCTCGGCTCCTCCGTTCTCTGCTGCCCAGATCAAGTGGCTGCGGGAGTCCGAGCTGAAGCACGGACGCGCCTCGGATGTTCAGATTTCTTGCTGTCGCGTGCGCCTACATAGTACCTGGTTTGGAAAGCATCGAAAGACCCAGCGGAGGATAGAAGGGAGTGGAGGTTTCGGACCTATATGCTATAGGGGCCTAAAGAACTACCTACACTATTTGGGGGGGGGTTCTTTATGGTAATTCTAGTATGGTGGGTCCCAAAACCCTATTCTAATTATGAAGGCCCCTATCCTAGCTGTACGGATAAGGAGCCCGAGTTTCGGATGTTGTTCGAGCTTTGCGTTGAAGATGGTGCCGTGGGGATGAATGCGGTTGCCACATGTACATGTCGTAGCCAAACCCCTGCATCCCCCACCCTACATAATGCAGGGGCCTAAATAAGTACCAGCGCTATTTTGGGGCTTCCTTATTATTCTTATTGTTATAGTCTAAGTGGCCCCAACCCCTTATTCTAATGATTAAGGCCCCTATATCGGCCTGTGTCCTTGCAGTGTTTCCAGAACCCGGTTCTCCAAGCGCAAGAACCCTGACCAACAGCTTTGCGGCGGAGAACTGCAGGATTCTTGCATGTGTCGGCTCGCACCATAGTGCAGACAGCCACCTCCAGTACTTTTGGGGCCTGAAATATATTACCTATGCTGCTTTGGCGGTTCTTTCTAATATCTGCAGTACAAATATATCCTGAAAGCCTATTGAAATTATTTGAGGCCTCCTCTTTTTGTAGGCAGCATGCCAGCACTCCTAGGATCCTGAAGCCTCAGCTCGGGAACGCAAAAAAAAACCGTCCGGTGTAGGTTCAGCCCATCGAAACAGAGGAGCCCTCCGTATTGGGAGTTTCCGAAAATGGAGGAGGGGCCTTATTTTGGGCTCCTTATAATAATAATAATACAAAAAATAATAATAGAATAGTAAGAATATAACAAGGATCCTACTATTTGGGGTGCTATATTAACGTCCCCTATTTTCGGAAACCTCCATATGCACAGGATGGTTTAGGGTTTAGGGGCTTTGGGGTTCAGGCTTTGGTCAGGGGCTTAGGCGTAGGCCTTAGGGTTTAGGGGTGTAGGGGCTTGGGGGTTTAGGGTTTACTGTATCCTGTGGGTATCCGTGCAACTCGGAGGTTTGAGGGTAATCCCACAGTCCCTTTGAACCACCATGCCACGCACATAAATCTTGAAACCCCCAAACCGCATAAAACAGGCCCTAATACCCATATCTTGTATCATCCTGACCCTGCAAGCCTTAGACCCAAAGCCACAACCCAAAAGGGGACGAAGCCTTCGTGTTCCCACCAGGTGTCTGCATGCTGGCCACCGTCGGCTTCGTCGCGGAGCAGTACTGGCAGCTGCCCGGTAACTTGTCCGCAGACTTTGGGGCCTGAAATCTAAACCCTAAACCCTAAACGCCTTGAGCTTCAAAGCTCTGGAGATCCGTAGACCCCCCAAAATCCCCTGTAGCCGTTTGAGCGCCGGGATCTTCAGGCATTTCGGGGCTCTTGCAAAGTTGCATGGTTGAGTGCTGTCATGAAGGCTCCTCTTAGAGGTTAAGGCGTTTCGGGTTTAGGGTTCAGGCTTTAGGGTTTAGGGATTCGCTTCTTTCTTTTTTTGCTTCAGGGTTTAAGGACCTGGGGGTTTCGGGCTTTGGGTTCGTGGGTGGCCTTTGCAGTTTTGGGCCTAAGTCTGGCTTTCACGATTCGGGGATGATGTCACTGGGCTTCTGGGGTTTTCGGAGTTTAGGGTTCGTTGGGTTTAGGGTTTTAGGGTTTGGGGTTAGGGTTTCGGGGCTTTAAGGGTTTAGGGGTTTAGGGTTCTTCGGGGTTTCCCTAGGTTTAGGATCTAGAGGTTAGGGTTTAGGGGTTCAGGCTTTCGGATTGTGATACTTAAGTGACCCGTGGCAGACCTCGCGAAGCTATGCGCAATGTCAAAACTCGTAAACAACCCTCATGCCACACTTATCAAACCTAACAGCCACCAGCCAACCGAAATACCATAAACCCTAAACCCAAAGCCCTCGGACCGAAAAAGGGGACCCTAATTTAGAGAACTATCTACTTGGGTCTCCTTGGTCATGACGTTTTACTGCACTGCAGTACTTGTGCCATGTTTCGAGTCGAGTCTTTGCTTCAACATCTTCAACAATTGTTTAAGTGAGTAGCAATATACAATAACTATATTAGCAATTTAACTGCTTAGGTAACTGTAAGAACTGTGCTCAGGAAGTTCCTGGAGCATTGAACCTAAGCCCTAAACCCTAAACCCCAAACCCTAAACACTAAACCACGAACCCTAAACCAGAAACACTCAACCCAACGCATCCGAGGCTTCGACGCGGCACCGGATGCCTTGCAGGCGTGGAGGGGGTCCTTGACCTCGCCAGTGCTCCTGTCTCACTTTGTTTTTGTTTTTTTTCGGGCTGTAGGTTTTTAGGCTTTAGGGTTTTGGGGCTTTAGGGTTTTGGGGTTTTCCGCATGCACATAGACCCTAAAACCCTAAAGATCCTAAAGATCCTAAAGCTCCAAAGCTCCAAAGCCCTAAAGCCCTAAAGCCCTAAAGCCCTAGCTAAATGTCCATTCTGGGGTTAGCAGCGATGATCCTCTTGATGCTAGTGGAGGGGCTGCCGGGCCGCCGGGTGGACGTCTTCGCGGAGTTTTGCCACGGTTGCATGGTTGTTGCCGACTTTGAGTTTGGAAAGACGAGCCCTGGACCTGAAAACCAGCTTAGCATGAAACCCCAAACCGGAAAGTCTAAGGGCTTCCGGAGCTCGAAGGATTCCCCTCAAGCACCGACAGACTTGATCCGGAACACGAGACACTTGAATTCTACGGCCCTGCTTGAGGCTGCAGGAGGTATAGGGGTATAGCGGGTATAGAAGATAGAGCCGGTAAAGGGGGCATAGGGTGTTCGGAGTGGTACGGGGGTAGTATAGGGCTCAGGGGTGTAGGGTGTAAGGGCCTGCATTTGTCACAGGCCATCTATGTGGCACCGTACAACGCCACTGGCGTCCTCCTCTTCCTCGCGGGATACATCGAGCCTTGCTGTAGAAAGCTTTCTCCCATTTCGAGGCCCAGTGCTTAGCTCGGAATCCCAGCGTCCCGAATCAAACTTCTGGGCTCTGTAACGCTGTAGTCAAACAGGCCCCGAAAATGATGCCTACAGCCTGACCAGAAAACCCAAAAGCCCGATATCTGGAACACTAGCCTGAGCCGTGCACCCTAAGCCTTTCATAGACCCCTAAACCCTAAACCCCAAAACCCCTAAACCCCTAAACCCCAAAGCCCCAAAGCCCCAAAGCCCCAAAAATCTTAGGCCTCACCTGTGCCACACCCCCAGGCGCCACAGCCTGAACCTGAAGCCCCAACGCTGAGCCCTGGGCCTCCGATCCCCTGAGCCCTGAATCGCTAGCCCTAAAGCCCCCGACCTTTCTTTTTAGAAAGCCCCAAGCCCTAAACCATCCGAAAAAGCCTGACGCAAGACTGAAAGCAAGAACCTTGTCCTTCGACGTAGCCTCCAAAGGTACGCTTAACCCAAAATCCTAAACCCCTCAAAAGGTACGCTTAACCCAAAATCCTAAACCCCTCAAAAGATACGCTTAACCCAAAACCCTAAACCCCTCAAAGGGTGCGCTTCAAAGCCCCAAGTGGGATGTCGGAGCCCAGGAGAGTGCCAGCTACGGCGGAAAGTTCCCGGGGCCGCAGGTCGAGTGCCGATGTCCGTTTCGGCCCGGTTTGGGTATTGCGCCAGGGTGTTTAGGATTTTAGGGTTTAGGGTTGGGGGTTCGGTATGACTCAAGGGTGTTGAGGATTTAGGGTTTAGGGTTGGGGGGGTAGGTATGACTCAAAGGGTGTTGAGGATTTAGGGTTGTCGCGTTTTCGGGTCGCATGGCTTGGGGTTTGAAGCATTGGTGGTTTTTTTTTGTGGCGGATACGACTGCCAAGCACGGTTGCTGTTGCTTGTTTGGCTGTCGCTCGGGCTTTTCTTTCTGTGCCTGTTGGGGCTTAGAGGAGCAGTATCTGAGGATCACGATGCTTGACATGTTCGAGGGTGATGGCGCCAGCCGTGCACCGGGAGACTTGCTGCCGGGCCCAATTGAAGGTTTGGGGTTTCGGATTGGGGATAGGAGTGCCTAAAGCGCATTTGGATCATATTCGTTGATAGACCTGAGCTGCGACAACCGAAAGCCTTCTCAGCCACAAACCCGCCGGCAATGAAGCCTTGATCCGGGAATGCTGGGTTTTCTTGAGGCCCCATTCTCAGCATCCAGCCTTAAACAACATCACACAGGCTTTGTGCAAAGGGCCTGGGCTTAAACTCTCGTGAACAGGAGCTGCTAATCAGCTTCGGTGCGACGTTGCCACTAATATGGGTAGTTGTCGAAGTTGGGGACCCTTCTCGAATCCTTAACACTCATCCACACTTGTAGTTGTAACCTTGCACAGGGCGTCTAATGTGGGAGCCTTAACGATTAGAACATGGCTTTGGGGGTATATTATACTTTGAGTATAATAAGGAACCCCCCCCCAAAAAAAAAAAAATGCAAAACCCTATTCTAGTTATCAAGGCCTCTACATTCGACATTCGAGACCTACCCAGAGAAGCTCTGCCCAGGAACTTCGGCAAGAGATTCCTCCCGCAGGACAAGGCGTCTGCCGACGACCTGGCCTTGAAGGACGCATATATATACATATATATATATATATATATACACAGAATATTATACATATATGTATATATATATATATAATAAGTAAATAAATAAATATAAATATATATATATATATGTTATGTATGTACGTATTTAACATGACTACTACTGGTACTGTGTGACACTAATTTATGATGATGAGTGTCGTTGTTTGTCATACAACTATTATCGTTGCTACTATCATTAGTACTACTACCTAGTTATGATAATGAGTGTCGTTGTCCGTAGTATGACTAGTACTCTATTTCCTGCTATCAGTGTACTTCTATTGCCCAGGAGCCTTGCGCTTTTACGCGGGTTTCATGGTGTGGGGTTGGTTACTGGTTTTTACTGGGTTTAGGGGTTTCAGAATTCGTGTTTCAAGTTGTCTATATAGGGGTTTCAGGGTATCCGGTCAGCACTCTGGCCCTAAACCTGAAACCGTGCGTGGACCCTAAAAATCCCAAATCCTAAACCCCCAAACGAGGTTGTCAGCCGTTAGACAAGCTTTACTTGAAATATCTGGGGACACAGCAAGGAGGTGATAGGCAGGGTCGGAAACACCTAAACCCTAAACTAAACCCTAAACTAAACCCTAAACCCTAAACCCTTAACCCACCTCAACAGGAGCTCACCAACGGGCGCCTGGCGATGCTGGCTTTCTCAGGCCGATGGGGCCGTCGAAGCCGTGTTTGGCAAGGTTCAGCAGACGTGTTCGTTGTTTACTGTGAAAAACATGGTACCTTAAGGCAAAAGAAAGCAGCAGTGGAGACTTCTCTACTGAGTGTGTGTGTGTGTTAGGCCTCAATGGTGGCCTCAACTTCAGAGCCTGAAGACCTTGAAGATCCTAATATAGGGGCCTTAATATTTTGAATAGGGTTTTGGGAGCTCCTTGTTATAATTGTAGTATAATAGACCCCATACCCCTATTCTAATTGTTACGGCCCCTACATTATGCCCGAAGCGCTTCTTTCTGGGACGTCCTCCCGCGCCGTATACGGCCCTGAAACTTGGGGGGCTTGCACAGCTGGCGCTGAACCCTTGCCCTGCACCCATCATCCCCAGCCTTCGAGGGCCCAAAGTCATGTAGGGGCCTAAGTAATTAGGGTTTAGGGTTTAGGGGTTTAGGGGTTTAGGGTTTAGAGTTTAGGGGGCTTCCTTAGTATAATTATAGTATAGTGGCCCCCAAAACCCTATTCTAATTATTAAGGCCCCTATAGTAGGAGTGAGGGCCTAGCAACCGAGGTTTTTGGGGCTTCGCTCACCCTCCTCTTGAAGGGCTCCTTGCCTTAACCCCTAAGCCCCTGAAACCCTAAATCCTTAACCCCAAACCCTAAACCCTTAACCCCTGAACCCCAGAACCCCTAAACCCCTAAACCCTAAACCCTAAACCCCTAAACTCCTAAACCCCTAAACCCTTAATCCCAAACCCAAAACCCTAAACCCCAAAACCCTAAACCCCCTAAACACAGAAGCCAACTGCTGCCGGAGGCATGGTTCACCACAACCTGATCGTCAAGGGCCCTCTCTTCCCGCTCTTCCCCGAGGGCTACACGGGACCCCAGGCAGTTTCGTTGCTGTCTCGAGTTCAAGGGTGGTTTGAGGTCTTGCGAGTTTAGGATTTAGTGTGTAGGGTTTAGAGTTTAGGGTGCAAGGTGTAGGACATTACGTTTGGGGTGTATGCTTTAGGGTTTAAGGCTTCCGGTTTAGGGTTTAAGGTTTCAGACTCCGAATGGCTTTGGGTTTGCAAGTGATTGGCACGGATGCTTGGAGCGCTTAGAAGTTTTCCTGTCTTGGGCTGCGCAGGTGCGCAAGCTTCTACAGGTCAGTATGGAAGCTTCAATATCCAACCCTAAACGTAAACCCTAAACCCTAAACTCTAAACCCTAAGCCGTTTGTTTGGATTCCTCAACGTGAGGATATTGTAGAAACACCTCCAAAACCTCTTCTTCACAGAAGGGGGCCCCTAAACCCTAAGACTCCCGTAAGCCTTGAACCCAAACCCCAGCTGATTTCGGGCCCTTCGAAAGCAGAGTCACGGCAGGGCTCCTGGGATCTGGACTCCGTGGCGGGAGCCCTGCAACTTGGAGTAGCATCAGTTTAGAGGATTTAGGGATTTAGGGTTCAGGGTTTAGGGTTTAGGGATTTTGGGGTTTAGGGTTTTGGGTTGGCCAGAGCATCCGAGTCCCAGGATCTAAGAGCAACATTTTTTCTGCAGTGTCAGCTGGCCGAAGGGAAGTACCATGGTTGTCGGGATCGTCTGTGTCCCTGGCGGCAAACCATTTTGCTCGGTCTGAAGCACCAAACATAGCCCCTCACCAAGGCCAATCCTTAACCCTAAACTCCAAACCCTAATCTCTAAACCGTATCAACCAAGGAACAGTGGCCGCATGGGTCTGTAAGTGCAGCGACTCTTGGCTACGATGGGGTTGTTCGCCATGGGCGGAAGCCTGAACGGGGCTTGCGAGTTCCTAGGAGCCGTTTCGGAGCACGCCGCTGTTGCAGCTTCTTGGTTCAGCAGAGAAGGTGCCAACCGCTCTTTCTACGCAGTTCCTTGCAACCTGTAACATAGGTGCCCAAGCCGTTAGATCAGGGTTTAGGGTTTCGGGTTTGGGGTTGTAAAGGGAATTGAACTTAGCAGCACCGCCGAAGCAGAGCTCGGCCGGGTGAGCAGAAAAAACTGACTTTTTACCTTTCTAACATAAGGGGCCAAAACAATTACCTATACTATGGTGGGGGTTCCTTCGTGTAATAAAAGTAGAATGGGTCCCAAGACCCTATTCTAATTATTAAGGCCCCTACATTGTCGATGTGGGCCCTTCGCTGTCGAAGGTTCCCTAAGCCTGCAGCCCCAAGGCGGCACCTCATCTTGCTCATGGGTGCACCCGAAACCCGAACCCCAAAGCCCTCAACCCCTAAACCCTAACCCCTAGCCGCGAAACCCTAAACCCTAAATCTCCCCAAAAGGCCAGGGTTTTCGGGTCTGGACCTACATCCCCCACCGAAGCCTAGACGACTTCATGGCACCGAGCCGATGTCTGAGTTTCTAGAGCAGACTGCGAGCACCAACGAAGGCATTGCATCCTAGGATTCAGCGAACCGAAGAATTCACAACACTGGGGTTCCTGTCGTGGATTTTGGAGACCTTTCATCGGGACCTCCAAGTAATCTCTTACGCACGCAAACCCCCTCCGATGATTCTACGCCCAAGCCCAACATCCACAAGAAATCCACACGGGTCTCAGGGTTCGAGATGGGCAAAACAGTTGAAGATGGAAGGCACCCAAGCCTTCCATGAAGGGACTCTGGAAACATTCCACTCAGGATCCCTGCCACATTCGGCCACTGCGAGTGCAAAGCCACGTCGATGCCTTGGGCAATGTACGAGTATAAAAGCTTCAATAGTTGGTACATGTCGCTTGTAGGGTTATGTCTTATGTTCTCACAGGACGACGACAACAACAACAATCACGTTACTACTACTACTACTACTACTACTACTACTACTACCACTACCACTACTACTACTACTACTACTACTACTACTACTACTACTACTAGTACTACCACCACTACTACCACTACTACTACTACTACGACGACGACGACGACGACTACTACTACTACAACTACTACTACTGCTACTGCTACTACTGCTACTACCCCTACTACTACCACCACTACCACCACC